CTATTTATAATGCTTCCTAAATAATAAAAAAATAAATTACAGTGAAAGCCATAAAGATTTTGTAGGTTTTGAACCAAACTAAATAACAGTAAACCTTTTTTTGATTTATGGTATTTTCTTATTTTGATGTTTTGAGCTCTTTTGTGTTTAGAATAATATATACTAATTTTTAAAGTATCAAATTGAATTTTTGTTCAATAAAAATCTTTCAAATGCGACTGTACCTTTTTTTTCTCCAAAAACAAAACTTTGTCTTCAAAATAAGAGTGCATCTTATATTCCGAAAAATGCGGTACTGCTTAATCTACTAAAATGTGACTGTGCTCTAGTGCAATTCATTTTCGCACAATAAAGAGTATTTGCCTTTTTTATACCTTTTTCCATACTTTTGCATAATTATTCCAAATACTGTATATTATAAAATATTCTTGAGTTATGTTTATAAAATAGTTGTACTTTTTTTTAAATATTGTCATAAGAATACAGTTAAAAATGTTCCAGCTTGCTATATTTTAATTTAGAAAGCAAGTAGCAAAAATGTATTAGCACTTTACAAAAAGGATTACATGTTTATGCATAAAAAAATTCAAATACTTTCAGAGGTCATGAATTAAATAGGTGTTAAGCAAAAACGAGCATTACTAGATACTTAAACACTTGCCTTTTCTACTTCTCTTCACTGAATCTGTCTTCTGTCAGCAAAGGTGACTCCTTCCTCTTCCATCAAAAATGAAATGTTATTACTATTGCAAAGATAGGTCACATATCCTATCTATAAACATGTGTGGTTTCACTGATGTAGCTGAAGGATCTTGTTAGAGATGACATGCTCATATTAAAATATGAAAAAATATAATAATTTAAGTGAAAGCTATCTTGAAATCCTGAAATAAGTTTTTTTTTAATTATGAGTTAGCAATTTGTTTAGTCCTTTATAATTTTATGGTATCATGAGTGTTATGAAAATATTTTTCTCTAAATTGAATACTCGTTCATTAAAAACAAAATCATTAAGAATATTTATATTTTAGTTTGTATAACTATAATAAGTAAGCAAATTAATTTGTGATACTGTTGTAAACATTTTCAAATATACGTATTAACCCTATAGATTGGCTTCCTATGATATTGTGATAACAACATATAATTTAGTGAGCCTTGAGGTTGGCTCAGGGGAGGAGGATAAGAAAAAGGAAAGCAAGGAAACTGAGCCAGAAGGAAAGGTATGTCTGTGTTATTTCAACTTATAGGGATCATTAAAGTGAGTTCTGTTGGTATCTTTTTATTTTCTGTGAACATGCAGATATCCTTAAATGTATCTGTGCTACCCATAAATGTGTAATGTTTGCTTGAGTAGGTGATCTTCCTGACTTTTACTTCCATGTTACTTTATAATGTGTTCAGTTGAACAAGTTTGATGTTTTTCAGTGTATCATCTTTCTCGTGAATGTTTTTGCTTATAATTGAGTCCATCTATGTTATTTTTGATTCAGTTGATGGTTTTATAGTTGCTTATATGTTTAACTTAAACATGCTTTTGTTTTAATGTGTTCATCTAGATTTTTGAATACGTTGTTACATGTTGTATGAATTAGAATTCGTTTATAGTGTTAAACATAACGAAACCACTGCTAATGTGAAAAAATGCTAAATTATAAAAAAGTCCAGCCATATAAAGTGGAGATATCAGACAAGCCAAATTAGAAGAAACATTTGAGACAATCTTGTAATCTATTATTACTTTTATTATTATTTGTAGTAGTAATATTAAAATTATTATAAGATGTGCAACACATTTTAAACTGCAACTCTCAAGAATCAAACACGAGATGTGTTAGAAGAAAATTTATAACTTTCCAAACACAACCATGTCATGCAGCTGGTGAGGTTCAAGTTTAGAAACACATGCTTTGAATTCAACCTAAAGTGTAGCCTTGTAGTTAAAGTCACAGTGTAATATACAGAGCATTGCAAATTCAATCCTACCTAAGGATATGCTGTTTTATATTTATTTATTTTTTTCATTTTTGGTGAATAAATACTCTTTATTTTAAAACATGAATAAATATTTTAATATAAATGGTATAAATGTCACAGTAAGTGCATTCCCTGGTTTATTTTTTGTCAAAAAGCGAGTGAAATTTTGCAGAAATTTGGATGTTGTATAATTCAGATACAGCATTTCAAAAGTCACTGCATTTGTTGCAGAAGAAGGAGGAAAGTATGTATTTACTATTGGAGATTTATTTCTCTTACTCTATAACAGGCATAATTCAGAGATACTTTGAACCTTATCCATGTTATGTAGTTGATTTTTAATAATAATAATAAATAAACAAATTTCTGATTGGCAAGCAGATTTATGGCACGGAGGCAAATTGAGGGGGAGAGTCATTCTCAGTTAAGACTGTCAGTGATCTTAGTCATAGTGAGATGCAGACATATATTCGGATCTGTGGTGGTCCTCTGGGGGGCTCTGAGGCTGCAGTTCAGGGCGATCCTCAACATTTTGGAGAGAATTTAGATTCATCTTTTCCTGTTGGATTTTCAGTCTCCTTGGAGGACAGTGGTGAGTTTGTGGACTCGTAGCACTGAGGTCCGGAGTTTGATTTCTTAGAGTGGATGCAGCAAATGCTGTTCCAATCAACACAGTCTTTAAATCACATATTATAAAAATAACAACCGGAGACCACTTTGGGATAATCTGTGTTTGATTTTCCTTCTGTTGATTCTTTGAGAGTGTGATTTTTTAGGCATTTTCCTGATTGCTTTTGAGTCTGCACCTTACTTGATGGCTGAAAGGTCTGGAGGTGAATTTTTTGTTTTCTCTCCATCAACAGATATTGTAGTTCATGTTAGAAAGTTTCCTTCTCAGTTATGCCTTATCGGAACTTCATGATTTAGCCTACCACTGCCAGATGGAAGCATTTTCTGCCCCTCAAATAATATATCTGCTCTTTGACTTCTGGAGTTTTAAGGCAGAATTTGTAGTTCCACTGAATAGATCAATGTCACCTGATGAGACAGGTTAAGTCTACTGACTTATAACTTTCACATCCAAAATTTTGTTTTCCTTTCACTTCACTTTGTTGGAAGACTCTCAGGATCACCAACTTCATTGATGAAATTTGTAGTTCCACTGAATAGATCAATGTCACCTGATGAGACAGGTTAAGTCTACTGACTTATAACTTTCACATCCAAAATTTTGTTTTCCTTTCACTTCACTTTGTTGGAAGACTCTCAGGATCACCAACTTCATTGATGACGAGCTGGATCCTTTGTCAGCATGCATGTTGGTTCAATTTTCGGTTTTTATGTTCTTCCCTGTTGTTGTTGGAGTCTCGAATTTCATCGGCTCCTACTGGGGGTTATAGTTCTGCTCCTATTCCTGGGTCCTGACCCTCAACATAAGCCCCTTGATACATTGGTACCTAGAATAGGTTTTGTCTATATCCAAGGTTTCAGCTGCTCAGTCAGATCGGCAGCAACACTGGTGATTATTGTATACCTTCAGGGGCTGTGAAGGCTCTGCTCCAAGAAGTTCTGGACATGTGGTAACCTTAACCATGGGTCCAGGAGAGCTACATGTCCTTGAGTCAAAATTAGTCATTCTGTTCACATCTTCACTACTATTATCCACCCAACCTATAGGGTTTCCATCTCCCACAGTTCCTTGGGATTTGGAACTTAGTTCTAGGGTAATCAGAGTTTGGTTGGTCTGGGAGTAGTGAGAGAGTTGTGCTAGATCATCAGAGTTTTTATTCCTGTCAATTGTTGGACCTGTCATCAATCTTTCTCTTCTTTATCAATTCCTAGATTCTCCAAGGTTCACAAGTTACTAATTTCTCAATCCGACTTGACATTTTACTGGGATTGTAGATGTACAAATTGGTTGTAGTGGGCTCCTATCTGCACTTTGCCATAGCGGTGGAATCCCACCACTGTCGGCATTTGTTGTGTACAAGGGTCAGGTACTGCAATTCTGGGTTTTTACCTTCGGACTCGCATCAGCTTCATATGGGTTTTGCTGAATCATACAAGTTTTTTTTTCTCATTCCCTTCATTCCATTGTACTATGCACACACCATTTCACAGATGACTGGTTACTGCTGAAACATTCTCGTCAACTGTCAGATCACCACATCCTAATTTTACTTTCAGAAACAACCAAGGCAGGCTTCCCTTCAGGACTGAGACATCTATTCTTGCTCCAAATAGATATGTCATCAGTCTGGGTATTTTTTTATTTTTCATCTTGTCTCTCACTTGGGCTAAGATGATTCCCATCCGGCTCAACGCTATAGAACAGGATGCTACACTCTTACTCACCTCTCCTTCTCCCACTGCACAGATGGTTCTTTCTCTTCTGGGAATGTGGGCATCACGTGAGTCCCTGTGCCTTTGGGACAAGAGCACAAGATATCCTTTTAATGGTCTTTATGCAACCAAACGATCATAAACATCAATCCAATGATTTCCCCAGTTTCCTAACTTGGGATCATTCTTTGATCTCGAAGGATTGTTAAGTCAGGACACTACTACGATATGGGTTCCTCTACTGCTGCCTCATCCAGAGTTCCATCTTTTCACAAATGCTCTGCTTCAGGGATGCATATACCAACAGTCAGGAATTCCTGGGTCTATGCACAGGTGAAGAGGATTCCCTACACAGTGTTTTAGTCTTTCTTGTGCTTCAACAGGCAGTGCCTCATGGTCTGGGCCTATTAAGGAGAAAATCGTCAGGCTTCACTCTGATAATTCCTTGGTGGTGTCTAGTGTTTCTCATTGAGGAACCATGTGGTCTAGCGTTCCTTGTTTTCTAATTTTGGATCTCTTTTTTTTGGGACCATTCCTATTTTATCGTCCTACTAGCTTGTCATTGTTCCATGGGTGATGCCTGTGGTAGCAGGTCAATTGTCTCAATCCAAACAGATTTTACCAAAAGGATAGACACAGTATTGCAAGGTTCTGTTGGATTGGCTCTCATTTTGCAACTCTAATTGGTGGGTTGGCCTCTCACTGGATCACCCAACTACTGGTAATTTGGTCTCCAGTAACTCATCTTTGGGCTTTTGCAATAGATGCATTCCGTGAGGATGGGCTTATAGCTCTTAGCCTTTTCTCCACTTCATATTTTACCCAGGATACTAAATATGATTTGTTCCAACCCATTGTCTGGTCCTGTTGATAGCACCAAATTGGCTGCTATACCTGGGTTTCTGCTTCTGTGGTCCCTTCCAGTGTGTCCAACTCTTCCACTCTCTTTTAGGCTTTCTCTGGGAGGCAGCCATGGTTTGATATGGTACACCCAGGTATCCAGAAACTGAAGCTTCAGGCATAGAGGTTATACAGTCTTTTGCATGACATCGAGGTTTAATTTCTAAGGTTGCCATGTATCTGTCTGAGTTTTTGCTGAGTCTGAAATGAACATTTATCAACAGTAATGACAAGGATATTGGCAATGGTGTATTGAGAGGAGGTTGAACCCATTTCAATCAGTAATGTCAACTGTTACTCCTTTTTTGACCTAGCTCTTTGCATCTTCCACAATTGCCCTGTTTAAAGCCGGCTTATTAACTGCCATTTGACTATCATGACTACATATTTTTTGAGTCCCCAGTACTCTCCAGAATCGTGAAGTCACTTTGAATACTTGGTCCCAAATGACCATTTCAGTTACCTACCAGGTATATTAAGGTTACATTACATGTTCTTTCTCAATACCTGTTTGTGACCTGACTCTTTTGTTTCCCCTTTACCTGAAGATTTATTTTTCGTGGCTGCTGACAACAAACATCACCTGTCAGAGTGATTTGTGTTATTTGTCCACAGACCACTTTCTCATTCTCTCTACATCCTCAGACCAGTTCTTCTTTCCCAACACACTGTCAGACAGGAAAGGGATTCAATCCTTTTCACTGATTCATCTGATAACTATTTCTCACTTCTGTGTCCATTGAGATTTCGATGTTGGTCATGTTTAATGAGGGTTTTCTTGCCTGCGCTAATACCTTTAGAGATGCTAGACAACAGTTTTTATTTTGGGCTCTCTTTGAAGGTGAGGTATCTTCTGTGTGTCAAATATAATCAGATTTGCCACTTTTCTATGTCCTTAACAGCCCGGTTGCATTGCCCATTTGAGGTCATTGTACAGACTAGACTTAAATTATTTGCATGATCTGGCAGTCTCTTCATCTGAAGGTTTTTGCTTACCCCTGTAGCTATCTTAACCATTTCTGCTAGATTATCTAGAGGGGGTGAGTATTTTCATTGTTACTTTTCAGTTCCCTTATCATGTTATCACAGGATCCCACTCTGTGGCAAGTATTTCCCAGATGTGCTTTTATCAAACCAATTCCACACTAGCAACCACTAATTCAGTATACTTTATACAGGTTGCAACAGGCTCTGTAGAAATTAGGTGTTCCATAATACCACTTAGGAGCTGACCAAGTGGTATTACTGTTCCATGATGGACTGACACTCGTAGACTATCATTAGTAAAGAATAAGATGATTTTGCCTGTCCCTGCCAATCATTGGATTGCATATATTGGGGTTGGTTTGCTTTCAAAAAAATTAGGTAACTTGGTTTACCTATTGCATTGTTCCTCAGGACTCCCCAATGTGCATTACTCTCCATATTCTACTAGTGGAGTTTGGGAGTCCTTACCAGACCTGGTTTTCAGTCACTGGATCTTGTAAAATTCCACCCACTATACAGGAATTAAGTTCCAGTTGAAGAGCATACCTTTCTGGATGTATTGCAGTTCCTCCACTAGGGTGCCAATCTTCTGTTGATACACCTATGATCTACGCAGGTGCTTTCTATATGGATAATGCCCTCACCAGCCCCTCCACCTTATTAATATGGGATTCTAGCTATAAGTGGGAGTGGAGGTATGTATGTTTTGGATGTTAACATTTTCCTAAATTGAAAATGTACTTCCACTGATACTAACCTCTTCTCACACTTTCACACCCTTCCTCCACACTAAGAGCCAGTGTTAGAGACTGGGATTGAGTCCATCTCAAAAAGTGATAACATTATCCGAATGAGATGCTTGCCTACAATACCAGGATATAGGGCACAGTGGAGAGTATCATGAGATAAATATTGCCAAGGGCAATTGAGTAGGGTATAAAAGACTGGAACAAGTGAGAAAATATCAGACCAATGCTTAGATGGGCAAAGTAAGAAACCCTGACAGTTGAGTAACAGCTATAAGTGTGAGAGGTATGTATTGTTGGAAATACATTTTCAATTTAGGAAAATGTTAACTTTCAGTGAATATATAGTACTTTATTCTTGCATATTCAAATAGAAATAACCCAACCTTTTGGTCTAAGTTCCTGAGAACAGTGATTATTACAAATGCTTTAATCTATGTAGTATGTTAATATTATGATTACATGGTTAATATCAAGATTGTACATGGATTTAATGATGGTAGTTAAACATAGTAATATATGTAATGTATTTGTAGCTGTTCTTGATAAAATTCAGTATTTCATTTACTTTACCCATAAAAATGCTTATTGGATCTCCAAAAGCTACTTTATACATCTAATAGGATGCATTAGAAGAGAATGAGTTATCCAATAAATCATTAGTATTTCAAATATTTTATTAAGTAATTATAAAATTTACTAGCACAAGTTGTTTCTGTCAGCAAGTTTTACAAGACTATAAATTAATGAAATTCTTCAAAATTACTGACATGTCAAGAACAATAGATTGACTAATAGAAGAAGAGGAGGAAGTAATACACATAGTTGTACTATATGCAACATAAAACATATAGTTAATGTAATTGATGACAGATGGAACAGTTGTGATTGTTCCAATAACTGGACCACACTCATGGTAACAGTTTGGGTGTTACCTATTGTTGTAATTGGTACATTGAAATGAATTACAATTATTCTTATTTATTACAGGTAGCAAAATGCTTTGTTTTTTTGAACAAGTTCCTTTAACATTTAGTAAATTAAATTGTACATATAAAGCATTTTTAAGATTCTTAAACATTGAAATTTTTATAGAGTATAGCAAATTATTTTGAAATCAAGTACAGGTGCAGTTTAGTTTTTGGTTGAAATCTTTATTAATTTCTTTCATTCATTTTAGAGAAAAGTGGATGTAAAAACATTGAAAGAGGTGTAAAGTTAAATAACAAAAAACCGTGGATGTGGAATATTTTAAAATGAATTATTTTAATACACATTTTTTTTTATAAATACTTTGTTTTTAGTCAGCTCTAAGATTCTGAAAATGTAATCTTAGAAGTCTTAGGAACTGAAGTTCTAAATCAAGTGCTATATGTATGTATAGAATTCGGGTATTTTTCATAATTCTGCTTAACTCTTCCAACACAGAGTCAGTGAATTTGACTGAGTCACGTGACCTTTTGTACTCGTTTAAAGTTGATGTAAATTTAATACATATAACTCTCTATATATTGGGTATATCTTCATGCAATGTGGCAGTCTTTCAGTTAATATTACACATCTTTCACATACAAAAAGTTAT